TGTACTGCTTTTGTAATTTCAAGACTGAAATTATTTAAAAATAAAAATTTAAACAAGCTATTCTTTTACCATCACTTCTTGTTAGCTTCCTCATTTGTGTTTCTGTCTTCATTAGTCGTTGAAGTCTTTCACATTTTATTTCTTGTCTCCTTTTCTTGACATTTTTCTGGCTCACTTCAGTGTCTGAGGACCACCATTTCAGAACCCATTTTATTTTCTCTGCTTCCGGTATCTTCATCATCAGAGGTTGGACTTAGTTGTTACCTATTGCTAATTTTACAGGACCCCTGGCGTGGTTCTGTAGGATAATTAATTACTGGACTGTGAACCACAAGGTCAGCAGTTCAAACCTCAGAAAATCCTATACAGGGTCACTATGAGTCAGAACCAACTCGATGGCACTTGATAACAAGAAATGTAACATCTTGCCATCTTAATACATGAAAAGTATTTTTGTTCTCCCTAAACCTTTTCCATTTCCATTGTGCCCTCCCATTCTTCTCTATTTAGAGTTACCTTTTTCTTTAACTCACCAGCTCAACCCAAATTAATATGCCCTGCCATCCAGTCCTACTGACTCATAGCAGCCCTATAGGGCAGTGTATAATTGTACTGTAGGCCTTACAAGACTATTACTTTTACAGAAGATTGCTACATTTTTCTTCCATGAAGTAGTGGTAGGTTCTAATGCCACTCTTTTGGTTAGCAGCGGAGTGCTGATCCACCGTGGCATCAGAGATCCTTTACTCAATTCAGGTTATTTGGAAATTCATTACTTTGTATATTCCTACTTGTCTTTCTTTAGAATAATTTCCTTCAAGGAATCTTTTCAACCTTAAGTTGAGTATCAGTGCCTAACGTATGATGTATTTGGTCTTTGTAGCCCCTTTTTTTTTTCATTGTTAGGTGTCATTGAGTGTGTTCCAACTCTTAGTGACCCTGTTTAGGGTTTCCGAGGAGGTGGGTTTGAACCACCCACCTTGCAGTTCTTGGCTCAGTGCTTATCCTATAACACTCGCCTTTGTATTCCCAGACCCTTTCCCAGGGCATATCACACTGTTGTTTTTGTTATTAAGTGCTGCCGAGTCAGTTCAGACCCATAGTGATCCTGTGTAGGGTTTCCGAGGAGTGACTAGTGGGTTTGAACCGCTGACTTTGTGGTTCAAACTGATCTTGTGGTCCAGTGCATTATCCTGCAGCGCCACATTAGGACTCCTGTAGTTCACCGTCAATACTAAAATAATACGTTAATTAGAGGTTTGGCCTTTTTAAAATAAACTATTAAATTCTGAAACAATATAATGCAGTATGGCCGAGTGGAAGAGCGTTGAGAGCATTAAATCAATAAAATAAAATAAAACCTAAAATTGTATTTGCCAAAAGAGTTTATGTGTGTATTTATTTTTAAGATCAACTAGTATTTGTTCTCATTAAAAAAAAAAAAAAGGCAGGAAGCAAAATGTAATGGCTCAGCTTTGTTTATACTAATACTAAATGAAATTACCAGTACAAAAGTTTGGAGAGTCAGGTCTGCACGTTGTTGTTATTAAGTGCAGTCAAGTTGGCCCTGAACTATAGTGGTCCTGTACACGGTTTCAGTCCTCGCCACACCAGGACTCCTTGGTCTGCATTGTTGTTGTGTTCTGTCCAGTTGGAACCAATTCTTAGTGACCCTGTCTGTATAGGGTTTCTGAGGTTGTAAATCTTTACTGGCACAGAAAGCTTCGTCTTTCTCCCACTCATGTTGTTAAGTACCGTGGAGTCAGTTCTGACTCATAGTGACCCTGCACAGGGTTTCCGAGGCTGTAAATCTTTAAGGGAGCTGGAAAAAAAGCTTCATCTTTCTCCTGCAGAATGGCTGGTAATTTCGAGCTGCCGACCATGTGGTTAGCAGCCCAATTTGTAACCACTACACTGCCAGAGCGCCTTTTCTCCCACTCATTGCAGGCTCCAAATGTCTAGTGAACATCTTTTATTAATCTTGAAACTTTTTTCTAGAATTAACTTTATTAATCTAGAATCCAGACACTTTTACTAGAGAGTAAGATTAGTAACTTCCCGATATAATCAGAGCCAAATCATAACACAGTATAGGTCTTTAGAAAATTTAAACATGTTGAATTTAGAAGCATGTCAGAATTGAATGGGCTGGTACTTCATGGGGTATCATCTCTAAAATTCAGGAGGGATCAGCAAAAAGTCCTCTTTCTGGAAAGCTCCCATATCTGCTCTAGAGTTTGGAGAAAATAGCAGTCACAAGTGAAATGGTCTTGACTTACCAAGAAATCAATGGATCACAAAATCTGACTATAGGTAAAGACTGAAGTAAGCAAGAGAGCTATAAAATGAATACAGATCGGAAATATAGCTGTACTCCTGGTGAAGTATAAAATCCAGGAATTAGGAATAAAAATCTGAAAAGAGAAAAATGGTCTTGACTCAGAAAAGTTGTTAAATGCTGTCAAGTTGGTTCTGACTCATAGCGACCCTATATAGAGTTTCTGATGAGCAGCTAGTGGTTTGAACTGTTGACCTTATGGTTAGCCGTCCATTGCTAATCCTACAGCGCCACACCAGGAGTCGGTCTGAATGCACAGGTAAAAAGAAGGGACAGATGATGCTAAATTTATTCTCAAAACAGGTTAAAGAGCCTGAAGCACTTGTGATTGTTGATATTGGGGCATGGGAGCTTTTATAGTTAATAGTGCTCCATGAATCTGGTAACATAATGATTATGAGATGGGCTGCCAACCACAAGGTCAACAGTTCGAAACTACCAGCTGTTCCGTGGAATGAGACTTTCTGCTCATGTAATGATTTACAGCCTCAGAAACCCTGTAGTCAAAACATTATGTTGAAATTTCTTATATATCTCTCAGTATATAATTGATAGTACATTTTCTCTTTCCCTTAAGCCAAGTTAAATAGAAAATTATTGCTCCCAAACAACTGATTCTAATCTAGCTACCAGCCACCAGAAAGAATATCCGGGATTGGGAATTTAACTCTGATGAGTCCTGGTATGACGCTGTGGGCTAATGCGTCAGACTGCCAAGTCATTTGAACTGCAAGGTCGGTGGTTCAAATTCACCAGCTGCTCCTTGGAAACCCTATACAGGGTCGCTATGGGTCGGAATTGTCGCGACGGCACTTCACAACAACAATATTTAAGGAGCTTTGGTAGCGTGGTGATTATGAATTAGGCTGCTAACCTCAAGGTCGGCAGTTCGAAACTACCAGCTGTTCCGTAGGAGAAAAAAGAATCTTTGCCCGTAAAGATTTGCAGCCTCGGAAACCCTATGCAGGGTCACTGTGAGTCGGAACCAACTCCACGGTACTTTAACAACAACAACAAAATATTTAAAGAACTCTAGCATAGTGGTTACAAGTTGGACTGCTAACCTCAGTGTCCGAAACTACCAGCTGTTCTGTGAGGGAAAGATGAAGCTTTCTGCTCCCATAAAGATTTATAGCCTCTGAAATCCTATGTAAGGTTGCTGAGTTGGAACCACTTATAGTCAACCAAAGAATTTCTCATTAAATAATGTATACTTTGTGAGTGGTACTTTATTTACAAGTTCCCCTTCATTTTCTTTTATTCTAAAAGTACTTTTTTCATTCTGCCTCCAAAGCATTTTCAGTTTGACAAGTTGGAAAAGCAATCCTCAACAACAGATAGGTTCATCTGCTCTTTAAAGTTTAAGGATTATTTCTTCCTTTGGTGTCTGTTTATTTGATATACTCACAAAAGAGTTTGTGTGCATGTGTGTGATTTTCTCCCTAGAACTTCTCTGCAAGAATTATGTATTATTCCTTTGAAATATATAGCTCTTACTTGCTACTGTTGTTGATGTGTGCCTTGGAGTCGGTTCCGACTCATAGCGACCCTGTACATAGCGACCGAGGCTGTAAATCTTTACGGGAGCAGAAAGCCTCATCTTTCTCCTGCAGAACAGCTGGTAGTTTACAACTGCTGTCCCTGAGGTTTGCAGCCCGATTCATAACCACTACACTAACAGAGCTCCTTTACTTACTATAGTAGCTTAAAATCGTTTCTATAAAATAACCATGCAATATTGATATAGAGTCTTTGATATGCAGTACATGGCTGATACAATAAAGGTTAAAAATAGTTCTTATATTTTGTTGTCATTACATGCCACTGAGTCAGTTGCTACTGTTGTTGTTGATGTGTGCCATGGAGTCGGTTCTAACTCAGAACGACCCTGTATGGGATTTCAGAGGCTGTAAATCTTCATGGAAGCAGAAAACCTTTGTCCCAAGGAATGGCTGACAGTCTCAACCCATGGACCTTGTGGTTAACAGTCCAGTGCTTGCTGTTTGGAGCCACTGCATTCCCTCCTTTTATCGTACCCAGTACAATATGACAATGATGGTTACAAAAATAATAGCTAACATTTGTTGATGTAAACTCTAGGCCAAGTACTTTGCATCTATGCCAGATACTTAGCAAGTATTTTGCATGCATTAACTCAACCTTGCAACAACTCAATGAAGTGCTATTATTATTATTATATTAGGTAGATTAACTTGCCCATGATAGCACAGTTTGGAAATGAATTCTAGCTGAGAGACTCCCAGGCCCATTATCGCTGTTGTAGCACTGTAAGATCAGCACTGGACTGTGAACCACAAGGTTGTCAGTTCAAACCTACCAGATGCTCCTAGAAACCCTATATGGGGTTGCTGAGTCAGAACTGACTCAACGGCACATAACAACAACAACAATCATTCATTTATTGTATTCTTTTCTAAGAAATCTAGAAAAGAGAAGTACTCTATGAGGAAAAACACATCTCTAAGTCACTGGTTCCCAACCATGATTGTATAGGACAATCATCTGGAGAACTTAAAAAATATTGACTGTGTCATACTCCCAGAGATTTTTATTTACTTAGGGTAGGTATGATCTGGACATTAGCATTATTTAAACTAGAAATGATTCTAACATGTAGCCCAGTTTGCGAGTCACTGTTTTAATGTACATTGCTTATGGAATTGGTATTATCAGTGTTAAAGTTCACAACAGTACTTGCTTACCTGGATGCACCAGTAGCAAGACTTGCATGTGTTTAAAGCTATGAAAATATTTCCTGGCACAAAATACTTATTTGATTGAGTGGTTTAATATATAACAATGATTTCATCTATCTTTTTTTTTTTTTTTTAATACAGATAGAGCCAATAGTTACCTTGAACAAGAGACTAAAAAGAATAATAAAAGTATACAACTGGATGAGCAATTGGCTATGAATAATTTTGTGGAACGCATGCATCAGAAATCCAGTGACTTACTTGATGAGGTTACAGAATTGCCAGGACAGAGATCAAGGAATTTTCAGGCCATCATTCCTAAGCCAGATGATGAGACAATTTACTGTACTACTGAAAAACCCAAGTGAGTACTAGTGCTCTTAACATTGAGAAAGTCACAGTTGGGAGAATGTGGTCTTCCTTTGTTGCTAATTTGTTTATTTTGGTGAGGGCTCAGTGCTGTAGGATAAACACTCAGCCTCAAGGTCAATTTGAACTACACTGGGTAATTCCAGCTCCTCAGAAAACCTATACAGGGTCACTATGCATCAGAATCTTACCAACACTTAACTAAGGCACTTAACAACAACAAAAGTTGACTTATCATTAACTTAGTGGCATTTGGGGACCCCTTAGGCTTTTCTGCTGTTTCCATTACATTGCTATGATGAGTTGAGAGAAGTGAGTAAGAAAACATGCGGTGAATTTGAATGAGGGCCATACGTTTTTATTAATTTCTTGTAGAATATTGTTTTCTGTGACCTTTCATTATGGATGTGCAAATTATTTCTAAATTGACATAAATGTGATATTATTCATCAGAGATTAAATATTGGCAGCCACAGAACCAATTAAGCCTGAGGAATATTTTGATTTTGGTTTGCCAATTTTTCTTTTAAATTAATTCGAATGCTTTTAGGAGGACTCAATATTTTTCTATCTTCCTTCCCTGTTATTTTACATTCTGTAGCTTTTCCCCATTTACCTCACCTATCTGTAACATACAGGGATTTGAATTTGTGACTCATGGGGCTTTTACCTGTGTAATTACGATACTTTGATGTTTAATCATATGCTGTGAAAAGTTGTTAACGAGGTGCCATCAAGTAAGTTCCTATGTTTACCAACCTTGTATAGGATTTCTGAGGCTATAAATCTTTACAGGAGCAGAAAAACCTCATCTTTGTGTAGTAGCTGGTGGGTTTGAACTGTCAGTCTTGTGGTTAGCAGTCCAGTACTTGTTCTAAATTTTAGTGATTAATGTGATTATGTATTTCAGTCTAGATAAAATCGTATTTTACAGAATACTATTTTAATAGATTCACATAGAAACAACCACTTTATTTACTTAAAACGATTCAATTCTTTGTTCATCTGCTTTTAATTAGCATAAAAATCCTAATGTATGAGGGGACTTCAAAAAGTTTGTGGAAAAGTGGTATTAAATGATAATGGAATTTTCCCAGGAACTTTTTGAAGCCCCCTTGTATATATACAAATATGTTTTCACCTCTTAGCACTTTGTTAGATTCAGTACCTTTTTTATACTGAGTGGTAGACTGGAGGACATTTTGTAGAGTAGAGGCAGAGATAAAGGACTAGGACATAATCATTTGAAACCATTTTGGGAAATAAATGATAATGTTTGAGATAAAGCCAACGTAAGCGGTATCTAGCATAATTGCAACAGAAGATTTACAAGGGAACATCAGAAAGCTTGTGGAAATATCCTGTTATCTTTCCATTACAGTTTTCCATGAACTTTTTGAAACCTCCCTGTATATGGTAGGTAGAGTCCAGGCTTTACTGGTATATTTATTTTTAGTAACTTTGAGATTAACCTGTCTACAAACTGCCCAGAGGTGTACAACATGTCCTCGGGTGGTGTTGTAGAGTATTAACTGTGCTGCAAGGTCAGTTTGAAGCACAAAGTTGGTGGTTCAAATTCACCTGCCGCTCCTCAAAAACCCTCTCCAGAGTTGTTGTGAGTCAGAACCAACTCAGCCGCACTTAACAAAGAACAACAACAAAAAAAAAACCCTGAAAATAATGCCTTCAAAAAGACAACCTCTTGACTGCTAACCTCAAGGTAGGTGATTCAAACCCACCAGCCCTTCCTGGGGAACCCTACCCAGGATCGCTATGCGTAGGGACTGGCTCGACAACACTTAACAACAACAATAACAATAGCAACAAGCTAATAGTGTTCTCTGAGAGCATACAAAATGTCAGAAACGTTTTTATTTTAATTTATAAGTTAAATGCATTACAAGAATAGGATTTGTTTTTAATGTTGGAATTTAATAATGAAAATATGATAATCTGTCAGTGAAATTGAAGAAAATCCTAATTAATGTTTTCATTTTCAGAAAATAAATGCAATTAGAATCCAGACTCTTAAGTAGAAACTGAATTAATATTCACGTCCCCAGAAAACTGAATTCTTTGTTTAATATTGTTTAATATACAGAAACATGAGTTTCTCCATAGTATCACTGAATGTTTTCTACAAATTTAGCTATCTCAGCTCATAGAGTAATGTGTCTGGATAAAATTAATATATTCTTCATGTCCATATAATTTTCTTACTAGTACATAACATGAAACGTTTAAAATGAGATAACTTAACATATTTATTGTGAGAATTAAATCTCTCTCCCCCCTGTGAAGTGTAAAATTTATAGAACCTATGCAGTAGAAAGCATATGTACAGGTTGTTTGACAGTTTTCTCTTTTACAGCATTATGGAAGTTAGGAATAGTGATTTGCATTGTGAATGTATGAATTCTTGTCAAGTTACTTCAGACTTAAATAAAGAGAAAACAATAGCATCTCTTCTCAAAGAACTGGACATTCTCAAAGCCAAAAATAAAAAGGTACACTACAGAAAGTCTGATAATGACATAGTACACTTTTAGCTGGTGACCTACTAAATTTGCTTCATTGTTCATCATAATTCAGTTTTATTGTGTACTTTTAGGATTTTTAATGGTAGCTTATGCCACTTCTAATTGGTCTAAAAGGGTAAAGGTTCAGTTGAAGGGTTGGCTATGTTTGGTTTTCAGACTTGCTGGTTGCTGATTTCACTTCCTTCTTCATAAATGGCATCTTGGGTAGTTATCTTAAAAACAAACAAACAAATAATTTCATTCAAGTTTTACTGTATGTAGTTCCTTCAGAGTTATGGAGAGTGAACATGATAATGCATTGACTTCATGTTATACTCCTAAATTTTTTCTTTTTTTATTAGTATATATGCCCTGTATTTCATTTGGATAATATATGTAATTAAAACATAGCAAGATATGACAATATTGTCCTTTACTTTGTATTTATTTATTTTCATTTTGTCTAAGCCAATTCAAATTTGTCATGTCATGCTTTATCTTATTTTCTGCTCTTTTTCTACTTACATTTCTTTGAGCATAACTATCCCTTATGTTCACTTACTATGTATTTTTTAACTTCTTACTTTTCTGAGTTTTTTATTTTAATATTTTATAGTTATTTGAATCAAATTGAACCATAGTGTTAGAAATGTTGAGTTATCTGATGGAAAATAATACAGATGACAGAAGTCTAGAGAGGAATAAAAAGAAAGAAAAATTGAAGGGTTTCTGTGAGAGAAAATGAGATATTTCCTATTCTTTCATTTAGCAGTTATTTATTACATATATATTATGATTATGAGTCAGGCACCAGTGCAAATTAAAATAGGATATGATGGAGTAGCATTCTCAAAGGAAGATTTATATCAGATGTTAAGATTATTATACTAATTAAGTTTGTTTCAAAATATTGGAATTACTAAGGAAAGATGTAAAGCTGTGCTGTCTATTATTTTATTAGTTTATTAGTCTTAAAGAAAGCTGTTTGCTTTAAGACTAAAGAATGGATGAGGTAGCTCTTTGTTATGGTTTTTATTAATCGTAATGTTATTCCTTTTAATTTCAGTTGCCTACATACACACACATATTAAATGTATATTAAAATGTTTTTACAATTTATCAACCCAGTTTACAAAGTATTTAGAACCTTAAAAACACTTATTTTGGGGCGGGGGTTTATATATTTAGGCAGTAAGATATAACAGTTTAGGGAAAGAAGAGTTTTCCTTTGGAATTTATTATATTTGTGCAGGATATTTATTAGATAAAATTCTATTGTCTTTAATGTGTTCCAGCTTCAAGAAAAACTGACTCAAGAAGATAAGGAACAGAGAAAACTAAAGCTTAAACTAGAACTCCAAGAGAAAGTGACAGAAGCTAAAATTGCTGAAAAGACTACAGGTATAACAGATGAGTACTAATACATGGCTTTAAGAATCATACACAGGTGGTTCTATATGATGTGGCTTGGTGAATGCTAGCTAGCTTATTTGTCAAAGGAGGGTACGATCTCTCTCTCTCTCTCTTTCTTTCTTTTTTTTTTTTTTTTTGGCTGCTTAGAAAATAGGTGGCTTTAACATCCTGGTACTGGTATTAGGGAGAGCTTTACCTGTATTCATACTGATTTGGGCATTAAATGCATTGTTAACACCATGTCAATCCAATCACAAAAAGGTTGTTTGTTTTGTTGGAAGGGCCTGAACAAACAAGGGGAAATAATGATTACCAGTGCCTCTACCTTTCAACCAGCAGTTCAAATACCACTTATTGTTTTAGCTCATTGAGAGGAAATACTTCTCCTTTGTATGGAGATAGTCATATATTCATTGCCAGTGAAAACCTGTCTATTTCATAAATCTATTTCATGCAATTAATAAATTTTCACCTGATGACTGGATGATGATACAGATCATATTTCCTCTTAAATTGAAAGGTTGTCAAAGTTTAAAATTATAAATGGCTGCCTTAAATATGTTTTGAATTATACCTTTACTCACAGATCTTTTTAAGGAGAAAAATGTTTTATCTTTGTATGCTGCAGATATGATAAGGGATTCTCAGTAGTCTATGATCTCCATGTATAAGTAACTCTGAGACTCTTCCTCACTAGTGTTTTAGTGTGTTAAAGAAATAGATATTCCAAACAATAAGATATTAGTATCCTGAAGAATTTTAGAGAGCACTTACTTTAACATTTGTATCATTTGAAATTATTTTAAGAAACAAGTATATTTTGTGATTAGTGTGAGATTATAATCATGCTTTATAAGCCACTTAAATTGGTTGCATACATGAAATAATTCTGATAGGTTTGTATAACCTATCTTTAAAATATTATATGGAAAATAGAAAGTAGCATCATTATGAAAATATGAGTAAGTGCTCTAGCTGAATACCAGATGTTTGTTTTCTATTAGCATTAAACTACCATGATTTTTTTTTTAATTAAGGAGAGAAACAGGAGAATTATTTATTTTAAGGAAAATTTATACCATGTTGAAAATTGGTTATTCAAATATAAAGTTAAGGCAATTTGAAAGTTTCTTGACTTTTTATAGCCATATGTATACACATGTATACTAATAGGATGGTATCATAAGACTTAAATTAATTTTCAGATGTTTGCAGAGTAATTTAATTTTATTTATGTTTTCCAAAATTAATTTAATATAATAAGTTCCCTCATGATTTATTGAAAATCATAAATTAGTATGTTGGCATATCACTCATTATGTGATAATATTTACTCTTTTCCTTAAACTTTTCTATAATATAGCTAAATATATTCTTCAAATATTTGTGGATTGACATATATTTAAGGATTCCCTATGACTAAAAATTTTGACTAATGCATACATAAAAAGTAAAGTATGATCAAAGCTGTTTTATGATTGTAAATTTCATGAATGAAAAAAATATTTAGTAAATGTTTAATTTTGAAATATGTTTAGTATGTTTTTATAGTGTCTTAAACCTAGCTTTTAAAGTAAAATATTAACTAGAATATTATGAGGAAATAGGGACCAATGATTTATATAGAAGGATATGGATATTCAGTATGATAACAACAACACAACTAAAATCATCTAACATGTACTAACCCATGCTTTTGAGTTGATTTTAACTTATACCAATCTTATAGGACAGCTTAGGGTTTTTTCCTTGGTTGTAAACTGCCACTTTTCTGTTAGCAGCTGAACATGTAACCACTGTGCAGCTATGTTGTTGTTGTTGTTAAGTGCCGTTGAGTCGGTTCCGACCCATAGCGACCCTGTACAGGGTTTCCGAGGGTGTAAATCTTTACGGGAGTAGAAAGCCTCATCTTTCTCCCGTGGAGCGGCTGGTAGTTTCGAACCACTGACCTTAAGGTTCGCAGCCCGATTTGTAACCACTACACTACCAGAGCTCCTACCATTTTTTTATACCATTTTTTTTTGTCTTCCAACTATCCCTCTTATTTATTTTTATCTTTATGTGCATTGTGTAATTTGTATTATGGATGTACTAGTCCATCTTGCCTTCCTACTTTCTCATATAACTTATGAAAATTAAAAATTATCTGATTTGGAGTCCTGCTGTAGCACTGTAGGATAAGCACCGGACTGCAAGGTCTGTTTGAACCACAAGGTTAATGGTTCAAACACACCAGCTGCTTCTCGGACACCCTATACAGGGTCATTAGGAGTCGGAACGAACTCAATAGCATTTAACAACAACAACAAATTGTATAACCTTATACCATTTCTAAGGATCTGGTATAATCAAAACCATATAAAGCAAAAGGTAACCAATTTTCTGAGAGGCAGTTTGAAACAATAGAAAAACTAAAAACCATGGAGTCAGATTGACCCAAACTCAGATCACTGCTTTGAGTCTTAATATTGACTGTGTGCCTTTTAGCAAGTCAGTGTCAATAAGCCTGTTTCTCCCCATGTAAAATGTAAATCATATTTGTTTACAAAATTATTTTAAGGATGAAATATAGCATATATAAGTACATAGCATATAACAGTTATTCAGTAATTTGTAGCTAATAGTTGTATTCTTTTATTATTCTTACACATAAAATTCGTAAACTTTTGATAATATTATTTTGCCAGAAGTCATGAAAACATTTTTTTTGTTTTGCTTTTAATTAAAATTGTGGTCATTAAAACTTTTAAAAGAAAAAAAAAAAACCCTGAAAAATTAAAGAAAGGATTGGTTGATAAGGAAATTTCTTAGTGGTAATACCTTTTACTAAAAAATGAATCTGAAATGAAAAAAATGGTATACAGAGGGCTTAGGCGTTAACTCAGTGTGTACCTGTGGTAACTGTCATATAAACTATTATAATAGTCTTCAAACCTGTTGACTTTACTTCCTTGTTAGTTTTACATGATGTTACTACTGTCAATGTAATATGATCTTATTGGGAGTTTGGTGTTCTGTTGTTTTCTGTCAAGGTAGTATCTTAGATGGTTGGTCCTTTTATCTTCCCCTCTTTATCTTACATTACCATAATTGTCATCATCATCATTACCAAAGGTACTTTTCATCAGCATTCATTATTTTATAGGAACTATGCTAACTTCTTTACAGATCAACCAAGAATTATTTATTGTAGACCTAGCACTGAATATACATCAGCAACTAGGATAGATATGGGATTTTGAGTGTTTAACTATTCTCAATCATAATGCACCACATACTGAAATCAATAGCCTCATATACATGCGAAAGCTGTACAGTGAATAAGGAAGACCATAGAATAATTGATGCTCTTGAGTTATGGTGTTGGAGGAGAATATTGAAAGTGCCATGGGCTGCCAAGAGAACTAACAGATCTACGTTGGAATATGTGCAGCCAGAGTGCTCCTTGGAGGCCAGGATGGCCAAACTTTGTCTTTCATACTTCGGACATATTGTCTGGAGGGAGGATATCATGTTTGGTAAGGTGGAAGGTCAGAGAAAAAGAGGAAAACCCCCAGTAGGATGGATTGGCAAAGTGGCAGCATCAACGGACTCAAACATGGCAACGATAGTGAGGTTGGCCCAGGACTGGGCAGTGTTTCATTCTGTTGTACATAGAGTCTCTGTGAGTCGGAACTGACTCAATGGAACCTAAGAGCAGCAGCACTAAAATAAAAAAAAACAGACTCATTACTATCAAGTCAATTACAATTCATAGCGACCCAACAGGAAGAGTAGCATTGCCTTATAAGGTTTCCAAGACTGTAATCTTTATGGGAGCAGACTGCCACATGCCACACCTTTCTCTTGAAGAGTAGCTGGTGGAACCCATAGATCTTTTGGTTAGCAGCAATATTTTTTAACGATTGCATCACCAAGAGTCCTTGTATAATGCTGTTGTTGAGTGCTAAGCGAGTCAGTTCTGACTTATAGTAAGCCTGTGTAGGGTTTCTGAGGAGTGTGTGCTGGGTTTGAACCTTGTGGTTAATAGTCTGGCGCTCATCCTACAGTACCATGCCATGTACAATAAACTAACAAAAAGCCTACTGCCAGTGAGCCGATTCTGAAACCATGTATAGGGTTTCTGAAACTGTGAATCAGACAGTTTCATCTTTCTCCTGTGGAGCACCTGATGAGTTTGAATAACTGACCAATGTCCAATCTACTGTGCCACCAGGAATCCTTGTAGATCCCTCTGTGGTTGTTGTTAAGTGCTGTGGAGTCAGTTCCGACTCATAGAGACCCTGTATAGGGTTTCCAACTAGCAGCTGGTGGATTTGAATTACCAACCTTATGGTTCAAACCGACATTGTAGTCTAGTGCTCTAGCTTGCAGTTAAAACTCAGATTGTGGTTTGAGACTTTTGCTCAAAAGTCTTTTCACCACCTATTGTGTGTAAATGACAGCCTCATTGAGGCTTGGTTAAAACCTACTCTGTGGGTTGCTGTCATTTTAAAGGAGATAATGTTTATGAATTGCTTACCCTTTAGGTTGCACTCAACAAATGGTTGTTGTGATATTAAAATACTGATAATGTTGCCATCATCTTTTTTTCTTAAACCTTGATCTCATAGGGAACATATTCAGCATGTTCCTAATAGTTGTTTCGTTATATAAGTGATAGACAGTACTTAGCAACCACAACGAATACTTGGACTCCTGGTGTGGTGCCATAGGATTAGCATTGGACTGCAAACCAAAGGTTGGCAGTTCAAACCTACCAGCCATTCCTTAGAAACCCTATATAGGTCCACCATGAGTCAGAACCAACTCGATGGCACACAATCATAACTACCACCACCATCTATACTTACTTATCTGGTGCCCTGCTGTGGCGCTGCAGGATAATGCACTAAGTCACATGGTTGATTTGAACTGCAAGGTTGGAGGTTCAAATCCACCAGCCACTCCTCAGAAACCATATACAGGGTCGCTATGAGTCAGAACTG